CTATACCCGGGGCAACTTCGTCAATTTCTCTCTTCTTGTAAAGTTGTAATTATTTTAATTATTTTTATTTCCAAACTGATTTTAACCAGTTCTATAGTAAGGTAACATTCCAATAGACAATATGCAAAGCTTTTTTTTCAGTTTACTGCAGTATTTATTACACAAAATTTAAGTAAAGCTTAACATGCCGATCTTGCCCCGATCTCCCCTATGAGATATTAGTTTCAACAATTTTCAAGACAAGAAGCTCTTTTTTAATGTTTAAAACTGTTATATTGCTACATATTGTGAATGAAAGTTTTGTGCATAATATTCTTGTATAATATATCTGTTTAATAAATAGGTAATGGTAAAATAAGTAAATAAATTTTTATTGTACTGATTTGTTTTATTACAATATAACATAGTATGACAATATAATTAGGAAAACTGTAGCTTATCCTCTGATAGCCTACATTTAAATAGCCATAGAAATTTAATTCAGATAAAGACAATCTATTTTTTAAATAATTTATTAACTTTAACACTATATAAAGTGTGCTATACAATTTTACTTGATTTAGATTAGTTAGAAATAGCATTTGGGATAAAATAGTTTTGTATTTTTGAGGTGAGAAATTACATTTCTCATGACACTTACATCGGCTCTACATAGNTAAAGTGTGCTATACAATTTTACTTGATTTAGATTAGTTAGAAATAGCATTTGGGATAAAATAGTTTTGTATTTTTGAGGTGAGAAATTACATTTCTCATGACACTTACATCGGCTCTACATAGTTTGGTAATTTATATAATATTCTGCACTATCAAAAGTAGAATATGAATGAAGATTTATGGATGGCCTACTATATTTGTCCTTTATTTATATAGGTTTAAAATATCACTAACATGTCTCTCGGTGGCGCGCCGTGACATTTGATGATAGGGTAGCTGTTTCTGTAAGAAGCCGATATCCAGGGACAATCAGTCAATTGCACATTAGTGATGGTCTAGGGTCCATTCGTATCGTTTATTCGATAAACCAGTAAAAACCATAGACTTTTCTAAATGTATTTTTAATATCACAATTACATTCCGAATCGCTAGCCACGATATAAGGGCTACAATTAAAAATAAAATAATAAAAACTTACTCGGTGAAATAAAATGTGTGGTGGATGTACCGGTACATACCTGGTACAAAATATTCTTCAATTGTACGAATATACTTTTAAAGAAAATTATAATTAAATATAGCTTTGTAAAGAAACGTACATAAAATATTATTTACTTTTTAAATCTTAAAACAATGCACTTAGTCAAATAGCTCCCTATGAGTGGCTAATGGATGGAATCGAAGATGGTGCAAAGCGTGCATACACGCGGACTGACAAATCCCCAGGGGTGCCGATACCCGGTCAATGTCAAATACCTCTTTTGTGGCATCACTAGTATATCTCAAAGAACGCGACAGGGCTGTTGTAGATTTTAAACGTTTCTCACCATAGCTGTAAAAATCTAAATATGTTAAACTTAATAGATTGTCCGTCGTTTGTTTTCTAACTAATTCGTTTTAGGACCAAGTGTCCTCGGAAATTTCCAAATTTTACAACTTTTCGATCACTCTCGTTGAACTGGAAAAATTTCTGCCTTTATTACATTAATAATACGAAGAAATCAGTCCCACTGTACTCGGCTAGAGATTGGTTCGGTTAGGCTTTTGTTTAAGTAAAATTTCGGCTCTAATCAGGGTTTTGTTTATGTCCCCAATTCCCTAATCGCTTAATTATTTAACTACTTCTTAAGTAGAAATAAGTCGAAACCAGTTACTTTGTACTCGAATATTTGTATTCTTCGGAAAAAAGTGGAAAGATAAATTTTTATGACAAACGGATATATAAATCGTAAATGCAAGGAAAATAAATTCTAGAGCTTTTTCTGTACCTGGTGCATCTCTCTCATTCATTAATTTAGTTGTAAATGACGCTGTCAAAGTAACAGTTAATTTTTTAACATTATACAAGAATTGTACACGTTTTTTCTACATCCCCTAGATGGGATATACGAAATCATAATATCACTGGTTTAACATTGAAATCCGTGAATAATATAAAATCGGAGAGCGGAATAAAAATATCAAATATTTTAATGGATTTTTTTAAAACTCCTGTCAACTATACAGAACTATCATAAAAACATACCAGTAAATTCTTATCGGTCGGGTTAAGTTATAAATCTACTCGCGATTCACGTAATCGGGCGAGGGCGTCCAAATACCTAGCGGGCAGGCGGCTAACACCCCAGAACCGGTCCCGGATAGAATTGGATGCGGTATACGTGTTGCATCCACCCGAGGTCCTAGGCTTCCACCAGCTAAACCGGGTGAGGTTGTGTTCTGTAAAGCGCATGCGCGAATCTGGCTTTTTGGATGCTGACAATACAGCGCTTCCACTCCGCCACTAATATTCGAATATACAATAGCAATCTTATTTTTTTTTTCACGTGTAGTATAGAAATTTGTAATAAGATACATAATGCGGTTATAATAAAATATTGTGCGATGATTTTCATATAATTAAAATTAATATGTATTTATTTTTTAGAAAATGCATGGGAAGCGGCGCATCCACCGCTTCCAATGACGGCACGCCACTGATGTCTCTTTTAGTCTCCATGTCATCTCTAATCACTAATAATACTGTCTGAACTTTTGCCGTCCTACATTTACCTATGTTATTTGTCAATCTCTAACTCATCATTCTCTAACCATCTCTAAGTTATTATGTGTCTGTAAATACAGTATGTTGAATATGTTGTCTAAATAGTTGGATTTCCTCTTTTTTCTCTAACAGTATATTTGAAATTCAGGAACTAAATCTACTGACTTAATCTCCTCTCTAAGTGTTCTTAACTTTTTTGGCTCAAATTTAATCTCTCTCTATCTCATTAATAAACACAATATAAATTGTGAATAACATATGTCATAACTCTTTTCTCACTGCAAACTACAATAATTTACCTAATATTAATAAATAAAAAAAAGTTATGTGCTTAACTTTGATAAACTCCAAAGCCACCCTAAATCCTATTTTTTTTTTTGTAACACTAAATCTATCCTATGGCAACACATGGTTTAACATTTCTATACATTTCCATAATTAGATTATGTAATTCTCATCATTCCCTTTTCTAACTGATTCAGAGTGTTCTCGGGAATCCAGAAGACATTCGATATTAATAACGTATATACAGGCTTAACTATAAATTTTTTGACTACGTTTTCTTCCCTTCAACGAAAATTCCGATAAATATAAAAAATTAAACACAAATTGTAAGCAAAAAACAGTTTAATCAATTTAAAGTCTAAAATTGTGAAAGTGACAGTTAATAGAAATATAAATATTAACGACATTTACTAAGGTGTCCTCCTTTATGGAGGACACCTTAGTAAATATCCTCCTTTATGGAGGACAGTCCTCCTTCCGTAAGTTCTGTTCTCCCTCGAAAAGTGTCCTCCTACATGTCTTCCTCTTTGATATTTGAAGACTAATCTGTAAATTTCCGTATTCAATCAATGCCGAACTGATCCGTTGCGTGTGATGTGATATGACGTGTTTGTATTTAGTAACATGACGATTCATCAAGGCTCTGTACAGTGCGACGAGATGCAATTATGAGACGCATGTTCTTCGCACGGGAGACCTTGAGAGAGAGAGAGAGCACGCAAATGGCTTTGTTTACTTCTTATCGAAACATGGCGTGGCACCTATGCATGCAGTAGAGATTATTATAGTGTATTATTATTGCAATGAATAAAATGTTTTTTTATTTACGATATTTTTTCTTCAATTTATTAGTCTCTTCCTTTTCATTGTAAAAAACTTGGTCACCTTACATTTACGAATAAATAATGTTCAAAACCGGATTAAAATAGTATTTATAAGCAGTTCTTTAAAAAACACAAAAGAAATATCTGAGTTAAAACGAGAAATTGTCATATATTAAAAGAATTTCGAATCTGTACAGCTGACTCTCTCTATGCTCCAGCGAAACTTCGGACAACGCGCGATCGAAGCACTCGAAGTGGCAGAAATATTTATTAGACCAGTTAGTAGCATATTAGAGCTATTGGCAGCGCAAGGACTAGTACTGTGTATCTATCGACTCTGCTAAACTGATATTAGGAGTTGGCAACACTAGGCGAAATAGCTAACTACTACGCCACCAGAGGGCGGGAAGCAAGCACGCAAGCTTTCTAATTGTTGATGATAGTTAGTCACGATGGTTCTTACAGATATTAAAACTGCCGAAGAATTTGATAAATGCATCAATTCGGACGTGTAAATATTTCTGTTTAGTAGTACGAAGTCATTAATTTCATCACAATATATTTTATTATCTTTTTATTTTCGCAGGCTTTTGATTGTAACTCATTTTTGGGCCGAATGGGCTCCACAATGCCGACAAATGGACGATGTTATGGAGGAATTAAGTAATGATAATCAGTATAAAGATGTAAAATTTATTAAGGTAATGCCATGAAATGATCCTTTCATTTATAACTAAGATATTTAATATGTAAAGATTACTTTACGACTAATTTTAAGTTTTGATGTAATGAACTTAATTAATACATATATACTACAGTGGGTAATCGGTTAACGAACATAATCCGTTCCAAGACTTTGTTCGTTATCCGATTATCGATTTACCATAGGTTTCTATGGGAATTTTATTAATTCGTTCTGGAGACCTCCAAAAAATAAAAAATATAGACTACACTTTCTTATTACGTTTATTTATATGTAATAATAAAAATACATATATACACGGTCTTGCATTTTTATTAGTCATGTTTTTTCCGTTTGTGGGGGTTAATTAATTAATTAAAGAATCTGTCCAATGTCGATTGCTTTTCTGTCTTCTTTATGATTTTTCAGAAGTAATTAATAGCATTGTAATTGTAGAGAACCCTAGGCCTATTAACCTCAACCTGGTTTGGATGCCATTTTAAGACCGTTGTTCTGTCAGAACAACGTCCTCCNTACTTTACGACTAATTTTAAGTTTTGATGTAATGAACTTAATTAATATATATATGTTATTTGTATTGATAATTTTTATAAATTGTTTCTGGTATTTTTTCATAATCACTTAATTTATACTGCATTTGGTCTGAATTTAAATTAGAACATTCTGGAAAATTAATAGCCATTTTATCAAAACTGTTTTCTGTTTTTGCTGTACAATTTAAAGCAGTGTTTCTCAACAGGGGCAATATTGCCCCCATGTAGGCGCTTTTCTGTGTTCAAGGGGCAATTAGTAACAATTTATATTTTGGGGTGCGAAAAACAATTTTCTGAGCGATATAGTAAAACATTATATTAAGAATAATTAGATATTTTATTCGTTATATCGTACAGTAATTAAACAAATAACATTATACTAGTTGCTAGTCTATTCGATGCAGTACGAATGTGGTGTTAGCCTTGTCCCTTGGCATTGGAATTTTGTAGTGAAGGTGGCGGTACCACGTAACAGTTTTATTGAAGGGGGCGATGATTCGTTAGAGGTTGAGAAACACTGATTTAAAGCTTTGAAGATAACTTTGAAACATAATAACTCAAATAGTACTGTTTTGGATCTGTAAACACATCATTAAGCATTTGAAGATAAATTTTATATCTAATGCCTGTAATGGTTTTATTTTATCTTTTCAAGTTACTTAATTAAAAGGTGCAGTTATTAACAGTTTTAATTTAACTGCATGGAAATGAAACAGAATAAAGATGTATTGACATTAAATTTGAAGTGAAAATGAACAGTTCTTAAAAAACTAGTAAAGTGGTTTTGGTTTTAAATGAAAAAAGAATTCAGTTAATTTAATAATTCTCTAAGCAGGAAATTGGCCTAATCCATTAAAGATGAAATCATCCATTGGAAAAGTTGTTTGACCATTTTTTCTACACAAGTTTCCCTTATACTATACGTTTCTAAATTCAATGGTTGACACAATGGTGAGAAAACAACGTTTCTAAATGAACCATTGAGTCCTCCATTCAGACCAGTGACATCAGCGCTGTTTCACTGTTGAACTCAATGGTCTCAACAACCTGACTGTTGAGTATTCAATAAACTAACATGGCGGCTTCTATAAAAAAGTAAATTTTGCTTATAGAAGCTATCCATTTGCTTTTCGAACAGATTAATGAATGATCTGTATATCATAAAACATGTGATTGCACAGTTATGTTGAATAATTTAGTGAATATTGAAATATTAAGCTTTTTTTCATAAACAAAACACCTCCACGAATTTGTCCAAAATTGAATATGACTGATATTTGGCCCTCCTGTAAGTTTTCCTAATGATATAAATATTCAAGAAATTCAAATTATTAAAGAAAGACCCAGTATACAAAAAAATGATACAGATAAGGGTTCACTTGAATAAAAGGATTTATTCGAATAATGGTTAAGTGAGTTACTTTAATTATTTAGCAAAACAGTCACAATCGTTACCTTCTTAATTAATTAAGTCGCCCATCATGAAAAGTGCCCTTTCAACAGAAACGTTTCTTTTTTCTACAAAACATAATATCAGATCGTTCAATGGAAAATTTACTGTTGAGTCAATTGTTGAATATAGAAATGTAAGGATAGCCTGAGGTATAAAACAATGTAGTCTGAGTACACAGAAGGAATTTTCAGAGTTAGGGAAATCAGTGTATTAATAATCACACACTTTTTTGTTAATTCAAATATTTTTTGACACTAAAATTTTTTATTTTTATTAAATTTATAATCATCAAAGAGAGAAATAGTAGGTTACCAGACATTTGAGTTTGACCCAAACATTTCTGGAATTACAGAATTACCCAGGTTCTGTTTAGGATAGCCATTTCCAAAAGGAGAACATTGCATATATGTCAATAGGCTACTATATACATGGCTTGTTCAAAAAGTATATCTAGATTGGTCTGGTAGTACAAAGACAATAGCTTGCTGGCTGACTCAACTGTATATGTACTGTAGAATGAAGATACAGTTGACAAGGTTGGAAATGTTTTCCAAAGTGATCATTGATTCATTGTATGGGAGATTGCTGATGAGGTTTGAATTTTGGTGGGTTACTGTGATTACATTTTACCAAAAATTCATTTCTAAAGTTTGTGTCATGTCTACTAACAGAGGAGTAATGTGAAGACTTCCAGATGATTTCCTCTGATTTGTTTGAGTGTTCATGTGACAATCAACAATTTTTAAAATGCCTTATCACAGGTGATGAGTTATGAGTGTATTGATAAGATCCAGAGAAAAAACAGTAATCCTCATAATGAAGAGTTTCTCAGCACTGACCAAAGAAGACATGCCAGGTGCACAGAAAAACAAGGTGATGCTTATATCCATGAATATGTTCCATCAGGGCAAAGAATTGCAAAAGAATTCTACATTAAGATTCTGAGATGCTTGTGGGAAAGATCATTCAGAAGAAAACTAGAGAAGTGGAAAACTGCAAATGTGTCTGCACAACAACAATACACCTGCTCACACAGCATTATCTGTACAACAATTTCTTGCAAAATGTGAAATACGAGGGCTGTTCGGAAAGTTCGCGGCCTCACATAGAAAAATCAATGTAATCTCCTCTGTTAGCAATGCACTTATTCCAGCGATGTTCTAGCTTTTTTATGCCATCACAATAGGTCGATTTGTCAAGGTGTGCAAAATACTCGTTCACTTCAGAGATGACTTCGTCATTTGAGTGGAATCTCTTTCCAGCCAAGAATTTTTTTAGGTTTGGAAAAAAGTGGAAGTCACTGGGGGCCAAATCAGGTGAGTACGGTGGATGTGGAACTAATTGGAAGCGAAGTTCGTTTATCTTTTGCTCAGTGATTCTGGCGGAATGTGCAGGTGCATTATCGTGGTGGAACAGAACTTTTTTCTTCTTCAAGTGTGGCCTCTTTTCTTCGATTTCTTTCTTCAGTTTTTCCAAAAGTTCACAGTAATAGACAGCATTAATGGTCTCTCCTCTTTCTAGGTAGTTAATAAAGATGATGCCTTTAGCATCCCAAAAAACCGAGGCCATCATTTTACCCGCTGATGGAACTGTCTTTGCCTTCTTTGGTGGTGGCGAACTGTGGTGTTTCCATTGCTTCGACTGTTCTTTTGTTTCAGGAGTGTAGTAATGGATCCACGTTTCGTCAGTAGTCACAAACCGACCAAGAAATCCCGTGGGTTTTTCTTGTAGAAGTCCAAACACTCCTTTGACATCAAAGTGCGAACACGTCTTTGCTCAGCGGTCAGCAGATGCGGCACCCAACTTGCTGAGACCTTCGTCATACCCAAATTTTCGGTTAGATGTGGTGCACTCGGTCGACAGAGATGCCTGTTGTCTCAGCTATCTCACGCGTTTTCAAACGGCGATCTGCTAATAACAAATCGTGAACTTTGTCGATGTTTTCTTCAGTGACAGCAGTTGACGGCCGTCCGCTGCGAGGGTCATCTTCCACACTTTCTCTGCCAGATTTAAAAAGGGCTGTCCATTTTTTCACAGTGGTGTACGAAGGAGCAGACTCTCCTAAAACTTCATCCATGTCAGCTTTGATTTGAGATGGGGTCAACCCTTTTTTCGTCAGGTATTTTATGACTGCACGAGTCTCCGTCTTCTCCATTTTTGACAAAGCATGTGCACATTGACTATCTGCTAAGCTGTCGTGGCAAAACTTTTTGACAAATCAAACGGAAATTGGTATCGTATCTTTAGCAAAGATGGCTGAATTATTCCCGCCAAAAATTAAATTGATCGCAGCGCCACATATAGGCAAGGCCGCGAACTTTCCGAACAGCCCTCGTATTGCAGATACTGCATCTGCCTATTTGTTGCTGTCACAGATATTAAGCAGAATTTGATGGAGGCACTGATGGCCATCCCCAAAGACTTCCATAAATGTTTCCAACAATGGAAGGATCATTGTATTGATCAGTGTGATGGGAACAAGGGAAGGGCTGTGCCATTGTAGGAAGGGGGTTTACTTTGAAGGCGACTGATGCCAAACTTCAGTAAATCCTATACATTTGTAACTATGGACATCAATTTAAATATTATTCTGGATAATATTTTGAATAGACATGTACAGTACATGTCTATTCAAAACCTCCATTAATGGACACTTGCAAATAGCAGGTACCTATATTTAACAGAAATTTTTTACAATCTCCAGACCCTTCAAATAGGACAGCTATTATATTTAACTCTAAATAGCAAATGCCATTGTCCATAACCAACCTTACAAAAATGTAAAGTCCTGCCTTCAATATTCTGAAAGAATTAATTATGTACAAAATATTTTAAAACAAACAAAGAGTTGGTTCAAATACTCTTTCAGATGATGAATTTTGATCATAGGCATGAAATAAAGACTGGCTTAAAATAGGAATAGGGAAGAGGGCAGGTTATAAGAAGTCGAACAATATTCTTTATCTGTTAGAGAAGTTTAATCTGGTTAAGTTATCAATCACCATTTATCATTGTGCATTAATAATGTTGTTAAACTTCTGTCTTATTGTTGGAATTAAACTTATGACACCAAAAACTATAAACTTTTTGAAGTTTCATTTGACAAGAACTGTAGTATAGTAATAATGAAAAAGAAACTTACGACCATAAATGACATCCTAAATGTGAGAAAACCGAATATCTTCATACACTTCAAAGTGATTGGCAATTGCCTTCATAACACAAGCTTTGAACTTTCACCAAACAAATGCTGTTTTTTTTTTTTTTAACTATTTTAAAACTTTGTGGTGGCTAAGGTGTAATTTTTAATAAATCAGTTACTGAAAAAAGCAAAATTGTTTGAAAAATTGCACCTACTTGATAACTACAAAGCAGAAAAATCCCTGTATCACTTTTTATTAGTTGCTTAGATCATAAATGATATTATAAATGTAACAATTCCAAATATATTTGCCACCCCCTTGAAGTGGGATAGCAAATTGCCTTCATAACTCGACATTTGAATGAGATTCAATTAAAATGAGATGTTTACAGCTGAAAAAATCTTAAATAAATAAACTGTATGTATATTTTAATTTTATATGCTACATATATTTTTCGGTATATTTACATTCCTAACACAAATTTGTTGTTTTTGTAAATCATCGTATTCTTCACTTTATAATGACCAGGTTAAAATACAATATGGCTGTTGGCATATACCTCTGAATAGCAGACAAACTTCTTGGAGATTATAGTGTACAGTATATATAGCTTCAGATGGAAATTTTTCAAACTTCAGCAGGTTGATGTTATCTTTAACCATAGCTTTTTTTTTTTATCAATGTTATGAAATGAAAAACTTGTTTTATCATTTAAATATAATATTCCTCCAGTACAACATAAGCACTTCATAAAAGCTATCATTTAACTGTTTGTTATATGGATAGATGTTGAGGTAACTTTTGGCAGGGGATCTTCCTGAAACCATTTTCCTCCAGTATGCTTTGTATAGTTTGATGTCTTGAAAAACTCAAACTCAGTTGCAATTTTTTATTATCATAAAAAAGAATACAGTAGAGCGTCGACTTTCCGAATCAATTGGGGACTGGGGTTGTTCGTATAACTGATATTTCGGATAACCAGTTTAACGTATCCGATGTTAAAATTTTTATCTATTGCGTGTCGCTTCGCATTGAATTTTCGTTGATGTTAAGCCTAACAAAGACTATTGTATCGTTAAAAATTATTTTTTTATTTTGTACAAACGAAATAAATATATTGAAAAATATAAAAACAATAAAAGATTATACTTCAGATGTTAATTTAGTATCAAGATCGTAAAATATTTGAGTAGCCCAAGACATAGCCAAAGATTGAAGCACCACAGCACTGGTGAAAATTTAAATTTGCCGACTGGAATTCTTTCGGATGATTGACGTTTCGGAAAATCGACGCTCTACTGTATTCTTATTTTCTTTAAGATACAGTAGAAGATACAGTAGAAGTAGAAGTGGTTTGGCATTTGCAACTATTTTTTGAACTTTTGAAGCTGAAATTTGATTATTTAGAGTAGAGATGGTCAACCTGTGGCCCCTGGGCTGCATTCAAAAATTCTGTTTACTAAATTTTTACTAGGTTGTTTCTACAACCTAGTAAAAATTTAGTAAACTGTAAACAAGAAATCGGCTAACAGACACATCAAAACTAATTTAAAACTAGCAGTGACTAATACCAAATAATTGGTTCAAAATCATATTCAAAAATTAAGGTTTTAAACAATTTTTAGTACAGTTAAGGGGATTTATTTGTAGAAACCACATACAGCAATACTCCAGTATCCAAATTCTTGCTATGATGACAATTTTTAGTATCTATCAGAAAAAATAAATCAAATTTTGACTTTTCTGAATTTCTTAAAGCACACGAATCTAATTTCTTGCTTCAATGCCCTTATTGAATTTATGATTTGGCATAATCCAGGGTTATTGGCATATATGGAGGACTTAAATAAGCTGGCTGATTTGATGTGCTTCCATTCATTTTTTGGATTCGATGGAGTAACTTACAAACAGAAGAAAGGGGTCCTGATGGGAAGTCCCATGTCACGACTCTTATGTGAGTTGGTAGTGCATCAACTGGAAAAGGATGTCCTAGGAACATGCGGAGAGGACATTATATTCTACAAGAGATATGTGAATGACATGTTAATAATTTGGAAGGACGAATGAAGGATTGAAGAATTTTTCAGTGTGATAAATAACAATTGTCATGGGTTAAGGATAAAGCTTGAACAAAAAAGCCATATGCATCTACATTTTCTTGACATTAGTATAAGGTTTAAAATGGGCAGTATACAAACAGCCGTGTACTTAAAACCCACACTTGTGCCACTATATATACCAGCATGGTCAAATGATCCGTTTAGGTAAAAGATATCGGCGTTCAAGGCACTTATTAAAGAGCGTTCTTGTATTGCACTAACATACAAGATCGACTTAGGGAGATAAGCAGAATTAAGAAAGTGGCAAAAGCTTTAGGATTTGGAACAACCACAATAGAAGGATTGATCAAGAGTTACAGACAACATGGAAGCAAACGAGATAATAAGAGGGATAGAATCAACAAGTTCACATACAATAGGAGGGTGGAGAGCGTGATGGAAGAATTATGTAGATATAAAAACATGAAAACGGTGTATAAAAGAGCACCAAACAAAGACTGCTAAGAAATGATAAAGATGAAGTAACAATGCAAGATAAAGCAGGGGTCTATAAAATTCCTTTTGAGAATCAGCAGTTGGGAGTGACAAAAAATTATATTGGTGTTACTAGAAGAAACTTGGCAATACGTTTAAGAGAGCACAAATTTGACGTGAATAAAGGGCATAATAACACAGTTTTGGCAGTTATGGCACAAACAGAAGGAGCAAACGTGAAATGGGATGAAGCGAGAATAGTTAAGACAGTCCATTCGCTGAGGATTGTGTTAGGTATGGAGAAGATAAAAATATATAAGGGTAAAGTGAATGATAATTGCTTAAATGCAAAAGATGCAAATGCTCTCCCAACGGCCTGGAAATACGTAATAGAAAAAGAGATGAGAGTTAAAAAACCCGTAAAAATATGGCAGTTATGCTTTAACTAATTTAGTGTATAGTTGATATAGTATTTTTTTACATTTTTTTGGTTAAACAACAAATTACTAGTACATTATATATCTAATATTTAACCATTTAATGTAATAATTTTTTAAAAATTTTCGAAAACTTTAAATTTTACAAGTGTTCAAAAGCTTTGTTTGTGGAATGATAATTTCCTGAAGATGGCCTAAAAGATTGGGCTGAAAGCATTTGGATATTAAAGTACAGTAAGCTCAGCAAATGTTCTGGTATTTGATTTAATCTAATTCTTAAAGCACATTTCTGTCTAATTTAAGCCATGCAGTTTAAAAAATGCAGTTTATATCAGATTCCTTATAGGGGTATCATACAACTTGTTTCATTACCACTTAATAAAATCGTTAAAAGAATATAAGTGTCAGTCATGGTGATTACAAATTCCAGTTCAAAGTGGAGTTTGTAATATTAAATATCATGATAAAATCATGAATTTATAAGTGAATAGGTAGGCAGATTGTCTAAGCGATGCATTAAGTTTCCTACACCTAGAAATTAAAATTCTACTTTCTGCTTTCTGTAATGAGTAACAATAATTATTATTGTTGCTATAACATAGATTTAATAATTTAGAATTAAGCTTGAAATTATTAAATCTGTTATATAATTTAAATATCTTAAATTTTATAGGTTGAAGCTGAAGCATTAGCAGATATTGCAGAAAAATTCAATGTTAATTGTGTCCCTACTATAGTATTTTTTAATGTAAGTAATATTGGTTTATATATAAAATTTTAACATTAAATTGAATTATTTTAAAAACAGATTAAAAGATTGTAACAAATAATAGCTATATTGATATGTATATAATAATTGTCTGATCTAATATTGTAATGTGAAAAAATAAGATTGTTAGGATTCTATACTAATTAAAGATTTTAATAAAAAACTCATAATAGCCAGAAAAGTTAAGCAACTAATTGCTGGATTTTCTGAAAATCATAAAATTGTGGTTTCTAGAAAAACAATATACATATACTATTTTCTTATTAAGATATGATTTTTAGTACAGTCGACCCCCCTATAAGACGGTAGATACATTCTGTCCTTTATGAATCGATTTCTTACGAGTCCTTGCCAATCACAGCCCGACACATATGCACTTTACGGACTACGGCTGTTTGAAAAGTTTTCTTCCATAAAATTAATCGATTCTAGATTAATCCGACTCAACATTTCCAAAATATGTATATTTTTTTTGGAAATAATCCGTATAAACTACGCTATAAACAAAAAATTGTAGGATTACTTACCGAGTGTGCACCATTTGACATCGCCGTTGCTCAATCTTGTTTTTGTCGCGGAACAGCTCAGCAAACCGCGGCCACGATTTCTGATGTTATTTTTCTGCGAAAACTTCGTTGAACTTTGGAGACATCATTAATATAAATAATTTTAATCGCCGTTGAATAAGAAATGTTTCTTTCACACGAAATGTA